AATAATGCATTTTAGCCTCAAAGAGAAGCAAGTTTAATGCAGCCCAGAGGGGTGACCCCAGAGTTCACTTGCACTTTTCTTTCTCACAATCCAGGATCATCAATCTTTTTGGGTCAGCGGGAACATCTGGAATTTTGACAAAGTGCCATGGGCACCAGTCACAAACTGGCTGCCATGGTGGTGTGGCATAACACAAAATGGCTGCCGCATCTGAAAATCAGGGACACAAAATGGTGCTAGCCCACCAACTGCTTCATTAGGGGGAGATACTGCAGATATTAATATTGCTTAGCTTAAAGCAATTGGATGCATAAAAACAGATTCCTTTTGAAATAAAAGTTGTTCAGACCCATAAATATGATTCAAAGCTTTACCACCCAGAACTTCCAAACAGGTACAAAAACAAATCAATGATACATCTAAATAGTTCCATGAGGCATATGCTTGTCCAAGCTTAGGCTCAGCATCTTAGAAATATAATATAATTCCAAACAGACCTAAAATCAAAGGTGTCTCTCTCCTTACAGCCTCTATTAGTCTGGAGAGACTCATTCGCACATTCTTCTCCAACTGTGATTGGGAACAAAAGACAAACGGCAGCTCCCTTCAAAATGTCTATTTGCAACTGAATACCTCTATCAAGTGATCTAAGGTTAAACACTCATGTGTAAAAGCAGAGTACAGCAACAGTTTATTATTAACCCAGCTAGAAGCTTGGAGAGCTCTTTCTAGCTTTAGTATTCCCCAACGGAATTTTCCAACGTTAAACATTTCAGCAATATACATACAGGCATTCTCCATTTCAGTGCGCAATTAAACAATTATACTTAACAGGGGAAAGGCACACATATGAGCTGCCAGTGTGCTTGCTTATGGAAGGAATTCACTTGCACTTCTCCTTTGTTCAGAACAGATGGGAGGATGGGTATCTAAACGTGGCATCCAATGAAATGTGGGCATGTTTAAAGGTGATAATAATAATAACAATAATAATAATAATAATAATAATAGTAAGGCTGAACCAGTGCAAACTTTAACTGAGCAGGAAGAGCACACGGACTTTTTAGGTGATATTTACGGAGACCTTTTATGGGCACCGTAGGAGGTACTGGCAGGCACACTGGTGCCCATGGGACCAGATTGGAGGCAACTGCTCATCTGTCACTAGTCCTCGCTGACTGAACTTTATCCGCATACTACAGCCTTTGCCAAGCTGCTACCCTCCAGGACTTGTTGGACTACAACTCCCATCATGCTGTGCTGACGGGCTGATGGGAGTTGGAGTCCAAAACATCTGGAGGGCAATCAATTGGCAAAGACTGCTTTATCCCTAACTATCTTTAGTACCCAGCTCTGCTACGATAGATGATCCATATTGAATCCGATTAGCATTCGGAGCAGAACACAGATGGTGGTTGAGATGGGGGAGCAGAGAGGGAGAGAGGCCATTAGGGGGAAGGGAAGGGACACAAGAAAGCCCATAAGTTTAAATCACCAGGAGTGAATTAAACTTTCAATTATTATGCCCAGCAAGGAGAAAAAAGGAGCACTTGGTTTTAATAACCCATCTAAACAGCAGCAGCAGCAGCAACACCACATTGCAAAACTTTAGTTACACGCAACCTGGGATTCCGAAACGGTCAGCTTTATTTCATACACCTTACAGCTTTGATGGATTGACTAGATAGCTGGTAAGTGAAACCATCCATCTTGGAAGCAGCCTAGTAAATGAAGAAAAGGGGTGGGGAGCAAACTGTATTCTTCCCAGTGCAGAGTCGCTCTGGGCTTTCTGTGAAACTGCACCGTCATTGTCTTTACCTCATCAATCAACCCAAGCAGGCCTTGCCAATGGCTGCTGTGAGCACACCTGAGCTCGGAAGCTGGGAAAACTTTTCCTGGTTCAGGAACTTCCCTGGCCAATTGTCATGAAGCCTGGTGTCCCTGTTCGATGACCCTAACTGCCAAGAAAGTGCCTCCATAGGGCTGCAGCCTTGAATGCTTTTCATTAGCATATTAAAAGCATTCAAAGTAATGCTATGCAGCAGAGTACTATCAGTGCATGTGTCACATTATAGAGAATGAGAGAGCAGTCCCTGCCCTGAGGAACTTACAGAGGGAAAGGAGGAGGGAGATGATTAAATAGCGTTGCCATTTTTCAAAAAGTGAAATCCGTCCAGATTTTCCCAGACTTATTTTTTGCTTCCGACTACAGTCTTCCGGGTATGTCAGGGAAATTCTGGACATATGGCAACCCTAAAATAGGGAGGAAATGTTATTTTGATTCTACATACTTAGACCTGGTGTCAGGCTGAGTTGCAACTCTTCATAGAAACGGAGGGTTGTGTGATTACCCACTCACTGTCTTGGCTTCCTCTTTAGCTGCGCGCAACCTCTCCAGCCGGGAGAGGCTGCGCACGGCTATGGCACAAGCCAAGACAGCGAGCGGGATGGAAAGCTGGCTTGTGCCATAGCCGCACGCAACCCCTCCGGCAGGGAGAGGCTGCGCGGGGCTAAAGAAGCCATAGCCGCATGCTGCCTCTCCCTGCCGGAGGGGCTGCGTGCGGCTATCCCTGAAGCCTTCCGAGTGCAGCGCAAGTTCCCACTGCGCTCCTCAGGCTTCGGGTTCCTTTTGCTGAAGCCAGGAGAGCAAGACTCTCCTGGCTTCAGCAAAAGGAACCTGAAGCCTCCGGAGCGCGGAGGGAGCGCTCCCTCTGCGCTTCGGAGGCTTCGCGTTGCTATCGCTGAAGCCAAGGAGCCTGCATTCGCTCCATAGGACGCACACACATTTCCCCTTAATTTTTGGAGGGGAAAAAGTGCGTCCTATAGAGCGAAAAATTTTGTTATGTTTCTAATTATGCAGTGTTTTTCATGATGTAAGTCACCATGAACATGGTTTGAACTATGGAAAGGCAGCATGCAAATAAGAAGATGTATGTATGTATGCATGTAGTTCAACTTGCTCCCTGGCTACTCTAGAAGATGCCTTTAGCAATTAATTACTTCGCTTTTATGCTAAGTGCTTGTGGTTTTGCACACAATGTGATGAGTAAGTAAGTACACCAGAGTCATTTAGCAACTTTAATTGCTTCCTGGGTAAAGGTTTCTGTTGTTTAATAGCACCACATCTGTTCTGTACAGTTCATTAAAGCAATTCTAAGATGCAGCGGACCTTGCCACACCTTTGCCGTTGTTTAACCCATTTACCAGTAGTTGTAAACGAATCTGCGTCAGGGTTTTTGTGGCTAAATGCGCTTCAGTTTATTAGAGAAGCATAGGGCATGATCTGGCCAAAGCTAAGCACTTCTGAGTCCTATTAATTTCAGTGGTAGCTGAAGCACACGCCTCACTCTCCTGTTGAAAATGACGACACTAACCAAGCAATCCTAAGCCCCAATGTTGATGGCTGGGTGAGGAAGGGGGACAAGTTAGGGTGGTGCGCAGTCATCCCTCCTCTGGTCTCTGTCAGCAAAGAGGAGTGATGTTGAGGCAGCGCCTCTGCAACAGAGGTTCCCAGTTCCCCCCAGGTGAGTGGCACTTCTTCACACAATGCATTGTTAAATTGTGGGATTTGCTCCCACAAGATGAAGTGATGGCAACCAACTTGGATGGCTTAAAAAAAGAGAGCGAGAGAGCATTAGGCAAATTTATGGAAGATAGAGATACCAGTGGCTACCAACTGCAATAATAATAATAATAATAATAATAATAATAATAATAATTTATTTATACCCCACCCATCTGGCTGGGCTTCCCCAGCCACTCTGGGTGGCTTCCAGCAAAATATTAAAATACAGTAATGCATCAAACATTAAAAGTTTCCCTAAACAGGGCTGCCTTCAGATGTCTTCTAAAAGTCTGGTGGTTGTTGTTCTCTTTGACATCTGGTGGGAGGGCGTTCCACAGGGCGGGTGCCACTACTGAGAAGGCCCTCTGCCTGGTTCCCTGTAACTTGGCTTCTCGCAGCGAGGGAACCGCCAGAAGGCCCTCGGCGCTGGACCTCAGTATCCGGGTAGAATGATAGCTCTGTTCTGCCTCCACTGTCTGAGTCGATATACAGTGGTACCTCTGGTTACAAACTTAATTCGTTCCAGAGGTCCGTTCTTAACCTGAAACCATTCTTAACCTGAGGTACCACTTTAGCTAATGGGGCCTCCCGATGCCGGTGCGTGATTTCTGTTCTCATCTTGAGGTAAAGTTTTTAACCTGAGGTGCTACTTCTGGGTTAGCAGAGTCTGTAACCCAAAGTGTTTGTAACCCGAGGTGTTTGTAACCCAAGGTACCACCGTGCTATTGAATGTCAGCTGCAGGGAATCCAAAATGGAGAGAGTGATGTCCTCTCTTCCCACCCCCTCAGGCTAACTTTGATGGGTGGGCAGGACAACCCACCTGCCTTCGTTATGTCTTCGCAGCAGACCCATCACCGTCTCCTGATGTGTGGCATCAGCTGTGTGAGGCCAGTGGGTATGTATTTGGGGAAATGGCTTTGTGGGCCAAATCTGGTCTGCAGCCAGGAGGCTCCCGACCCCTGGGCTATAGGAGGCCACATAAATCCTTCTCTGCAGTTGGCAGAGGCAGCTCATGGTCAGAACCCTCCCTGATGTGAAGATGGGAAGCTCCACTTCAAGCTCCAGCAGGGTTGGAAAGGGGGTGTCGGAAGCAGCCCTCCTATTCACCTGATCCCCCAACTATCCTGAAACTGGCTGGAAATCTGCACCAGCCCTGGAGCTGCCATAGTTAATTCCCTCCTCCCCAACTGCAGGCCATGGGAGGGAAATTAAGAAATACTTGTCTATGGCAGGGTGAGGAACAAGCGACCACCACCATCTTCTGCCTGGCTGTTATCAGCCATTCATGCTTGGGAATTAGTGGTTTCTTTGCCAAGGAACCCCTCCCCGCATGTGATTTTTCTTTTAAAAGTGCATAATTCAGGCTAATAATAATAATAATAATAAAATAGTAATTTATTATTTAATAAATTATTAAATAGGTGTGCCCATGGGTGCCTCTTCCCCTCAGTGGCGTAGCGTGGGTTGCCAGCACCTAGGGCAGCGTGGAGGGGGGATAGCAGGGAAGGAAGCAGCTGGAGTCCGCATGTGCATTCAACTGCCTAATGGCGTCCGCATCACCCAGGAGATTGCAGCTGCAGAGATAAGAAAAGAAGAGTTGTACCGTTGTCTGGAGAGCTCACTTCCTGGTTTGCATGGAGAAGCCCAGTGGCAGAAGTGCACAGCTGTATTGAGGCAGCAGCGGGTGTTGAAATTTTGCACTCCCTTACAATTTTGTGCCTGGGGCAACTGCCCCTTTGTCATCGTCATCGTCCCCCCATGTTACGCCACTGCTTCCCTCCTCCTCCTTTGTCCTAAGATGAGTTGTGCATTTTCAAGGCTATGACTTGTATTTTTCTCCATCTCATGTGAGTGAATAATGACCATTTCCCAGACTTCCATGAGATTTTAGTAGAAAAGTTAAGTTGGGTTGTTGAAGACTTTTATGATTATAGATCATATTGTTGATGTGCTTTATTCTTAAAAAATGTGGTTTGTTCTATTGATTACCCCAGATGTTGTATTATCTAGACTCCTTTGGAGCCCAGGGGGGGAAAGATGTCAATGCAACTCTTAAAAAAGAAATGAATTGTCTCTGAGATCACACAGCAGCTGTGCTTGCTTTTGCTTTTGCACTGAGAATCTTGAACTTAAAAAGAACAAATAACTTTTCTCGCCGCCGTGCCTAAATGCTGAATAATGTTGTCCGTGGTTAGCTTGGTCTTGCGTCTGACCCACATGTAAGTGAAGTTGAAAGTGTGTATGTGTGTGTGTGTGTGAGAGAGAGAGAGCCAGAGGTGAGATGAACAGCAGCAGCTTAATTTCCTTTGAGAGATGGGTTTTCAGCAGCAGAATTTCATATACACTGGGTTTGGAGATGGGGAAAAAAAGAAGAGAAGGGAAAGAAAGCATTGTTAATTACATTACCCAGAAATCAATGTTGTTCTTTGAAGGTGCACATGAAAGAGTAGACAAAAGAGCTGAAACAATGGCACTGTTTAATTAAAAACAATCGTGGGCTATCTCGGTGACAAAACGATTACATTGGTGCTTGAGAAGAGAAGCTGCTATGCTCAAGGGGCCTTCCTCTGGAACTTCTCATGGAAACAACCCGGGAGGCATTGAAAGCAGGGGTTGTCAACCTGGTCCCTACCACCCACTAGTGGGCGTTTCAGGATTCTAGGTGGGCGGTAGGGGGTTCTACAGCAAACACTGAATCCTCCTTCTATCAAGCACTGGTGGGTGGTAAGGAAATTTTACCATCAAGACAGATGCACTAGTGGGCGGTAGATATAGAAAGGTTGACTACCCCTGATTTCAGTTGTTCCATTGTGAGGTCTTACTTGTCTGTTGCAAGTGTGGAGGAGCTGATCATAGAACTGAAGAGGTGGAGTGGACCGTGAGGATCGTGAAGTCCAACCCCTGCAATGCAAGAACCTCAACTCAAGCATCCAGGACAGACGGCCACCCAGGTCTCTGCTCTCAAGGAGCCTACAATCTGAGACAGACCATGGAGAAGCTGCAGAACGAGGAAGGGAGAAACTAGGGGAGGGATGAAAAAATGAGGGCAAATGCCAGTAGATCAAGCGTGGGGAAGTTTTGGTCATCTAGATGCTGCTGACCTAGAACTCCTATGAGCCCTAGCTGGCATAGGCAATCATTAAAGATGATGGGAGCTGTGGTCCAAAGGAAAAAAAGGCCATGCAAAATGTCTAATTTAATTCCAAACACCTATGCTACAAATCTTAAAAAATAGACAGCATCTTAAAAAGCAGAGACATCACCTTGCCAACAAAGGTCCGTATAGTAAAAGCTATGGTTTTCCCAGTAGTGATGTATGGAAGTGAGAGCTGGACCATAAAGAAGGTTGGTCGCCGAAGAATTGATGCTTTTGAGTTATGGTGCTGGAGAAGACTCTTGGGAGTCCCATGGACTGCAAGAAGATCAAACCTCTCCATTCTTAAGGAAATCAGCCCTGAGTGCTCACTGGAAGGACAGATTGTGAAGCTGAGGCTCCACTACGTTGGCCACCTCATGAGAAGAGAAGACTCCCTGAAAAAGACCCTGATGTTGGGAAAGACTGAGGGCACAAGGAGAAGGGGACGACAGAGGACGAGATGGCTGGACAGTGTTCTCGAAACTACCAGCATGAGTTTGACCAAACTGCAGGAGGCAGTGGAAGACAGGAGTGCCTGGCGTGCTCTGGTCCATGGGGTCACGAAGAGTCGGACACGACCAAACGACTAAACAACAATGCTACATATGTAAACCAGCTGCAAACCCATTTAGTTCTCCCAAGGAGGTATTCTGGAAACTAGTTCTGTAACTGAAATAGGGAAATTGAAATAATTTGCAACAGTGTCCGAAGCTTGACACCTCCCTGGGGTTGGTGATGGAGGAGGAAGACGGGAAGTCATGAGAAGTAAAGCAGCTTCAGACCAGAAGACAGAATGGTGGTGCAGAGATGGTCCTGGTTTCCAGAGCATTAAGCCAAGCCATGAATCCGGTTGCCTGTAAGAATAGAAGGGGCTGTAACAGCTTGGAAGAGAGCGAGTTGCTCGAGTTAATTGTGCAATGCAAACATAACAGGCTAGACCTCAGGGAGAGACAAAAGGGATAAGTAGCCTTTATGATCTCATCAATTCATTTGCCATACTCTGGGCTTTATTAAGAAGTCAACATAACATGGCTAAAGAAACCCAGCATTTCTTATACGATAATCAAAAACTGCATCTAGGGGGCAACACAGTATTTTCTTCTCTGATTTGTCTCACTTATTTGGATCTCTTTCTTTTAAAAAAAGTGAATGAGGGGTATTTTAAAAAGCAGGGCTTATTTTGCATGATCCCTTACACACCTCTTGGCACAGTGATTGCCAAGCAAACACCATCTTCAATCGCTAAATGCACAATTGTGAGCCAGTGTGATGTACTGGTTAGAGTGCTGGATTAAGACCTGGGAGACCATGGTTCAAATCCCCATTAAGCCACTGGGTGACCTTAGGCCAGTCACTGTTGCTCGGTCTAACCTACCTCACAGGGTTGTTGTGTGTTGGCGTTTTTTGACTACGTGCCATTCTGTGCAGCTTCACACAGAGTCAATTAAGTGTTGGCCGGCAGCCAAGATGACTGAGCAGAGAGGAGTTATCTGCCTGGAGATATGGGACCCTGGAAACAGCTTTACCATTGGTTGAAGTCTCACACAGGCCTGATGATTTATGACCTTACTGACTGGAATGTGTTTGTTGGTCAGTGTGGTGTTCTGAGAGTCGCTTGGAGTTTGTTAAGAGAGAGCTAGTAAAGATCCGTGTATCTGTTCATGTATATAGTAACTTGTAGAGTCTCCTGTAAAAAACAAACACCTCTAAGTAACCGAGTTACTAGTAGCAGCGTCTGGTTCCTGCTTTGTCCATCCTGCCTGCAACTGATTGCTTTCTGGAACTCTGTGTATTCTCTGATAAGATCTGGCTAAGGTCCTGCAACAGGTCAAAGTTGCGAAACACCAACATGAGGATAAAATGGCGGAGTTGGGGGAAGCGAATACGCCTCGCTGATCTCCTTGGAGGAACAGTGGGACTGTAGTAATAAAAATGGATAGCTCAGTTGGTTAGAGCATGGTGCTGATAATGGCAAGGTTGTGGGTTCGATCCTGATATGGGACAGCTGCATATACCTGCATTGGACTGGATGATCCTCAGGGTCCCTTCCAACTCTACAATTCTGTGATATCCCAGTCAAAACTTGAAATGGCAGACAGAGATGTCTTCCAATGCCAACAGGGCTCAAGGCGATTTCCCCACCTTACTCCTGGCTTGAGTCACTTGTCTGACACAGAGGGTACAGAGAGAGCCTAAAAAGGGCATTGCACAATGCTTCTGCAAATGTGAATTTAACTTCAAGATAAGGCCTCCTTCTTGAGAAGACCTTCCCAAAATATGGTACACATAACCCTCAGGGGTACATCAAAGGGTACAGGCAGAGTTTTTATTTCATTTCCTCATAGCGACAGAAAACAATTCAAAGAAGAAGAGAAGAAGAGGAGGAGTTTGGATTTGATATCCCGCTTTATCACTACCCAAAGGAGTCTCAAAGCAGCTAACATTCTCCTTTCCCTTCCTCCCCCACAACAAACACTCTGTGAGGTGAGTGGGGCTGAGAGACTTCAGAGAAGTGTGACTGGCCCAAGGTCACCCAGCAGCTGCATGTGGAGGAGCGGAGACGCGAACCTGGTTCACCAGATTACAAGTCTACCACTCTTAACCACTACACCACACAGACAAAAGACAAAAGAAGCATTATTAAAACGACTCCCAAATTATCTTTGCCTGAGAAGGGGTACACCAGTAAGACTAAACTCTCAAAGGGGTTATTGTAAATTTGGGAAATAGTGCTCTAGTGAAAGGGGGCAGGGAAACGGTTTGGAGCTAGTTCTTGATTTTCATTTGAGAGAGGCGTGCTTCCTAGGAGGGAGCTCCCTGCACCAGCTGCATTTTTGGGGAAACACAATAGAGCAGGGATGGGGAACTCTGCAGATGTTGGTGGGCTCATCATACTTGACCATTGGCCATGCTGGCTGGGGCTGATGGGAGCCGAACAGGCTCTGGAGGGCCACAGGAGGGAGACAGGATTCGCTGTCTGCAGACAGGAATTCCTGCAATCATTGCACCCACCATAGGAGCCAACTCCTAGGAGCCGTGCCCCCCCCACAATAAAATATTTGAGGGGGCTGGGCCCCCCACAAAGTTGATGGGCATTCCCATTCAAATGGGTGTGTGTGTGTGCAATGTGTCATGTGATCGATTATGTGGGTCGGGGCTTACCTGGGCCCCCACAATATTTTATTCAAGTTGGCACCCCTGGCACCCACATGTAGACCTCCAGAGGCAGAGCAAGTGCGTTCTCAGGCTTGCAGAAGGAAGGAAAGCTCTCCTTCTTCACTGTTCTCTCAGAGAAACCTGATTCAGTTCAGTGTCACGACACTGCAGCATCTTTTCAGAAGAGCTGTAACCTGCAGAACTGCGTGTTGGAAGTCACAGGCAAGACGCAGGGAGTCTGCTGGCATTTCTAAGGGCTCCAGCTAATCTCTGGTATAATCAGCCGGCATGTTATATGCTGATGGATTCCACACTGCTCTGAGAGCTGTTGCAGCAGTCAATGTTTTATTTATTGAATGAAGACCTCCCTAATTGAATTAGGTTGCTACTGTGAGATGCTTACCAGGACATCAGCAAAAGGAGATTGAGGGCTACTGTTTATTCATCCCAGCGCTGGGGTGTAATGAGCTATTGAACCAGCCATGAAAATGATGCGAGTTTGAGTTGTGTGGTCATGATTCAGTTAAATAGCGTCTTCAGTCAATTTACATTACTGTAAATGCTTCGCGTTATCCTAGGAATTAAAATCTGGCTGTTCTTTGCTGGCCAAGGTTAAATTGCAGTGAAATACGTTAAACAGTAAGCAGAGATGCATAGCTGGGTGAGAAACAACAGAGACAGGCTGAAAATTCTCAAAAGACTATTTTCCAATAATTTATTTCTGCAGATTTTCTTTTTCAGGCTTCCCCCGAGTTAGAGTTGAGCTGAAATTTCTCAGCAGACAAACTTGAGAGAATGTATGAGGGGCTTTTTTTTGCTCTCCCAGGAGGAAAGCAGCCAATTTGCAGATTTTTTCCTGAACATTTTCATCACACACCCCATTCCTTATTTTGGTACAGGCAGTCATTTCACCATTGCTAAGCCCTGGAATGACCTTAGGTCCCAAGCAGGGCTCCCCCCCCCCCCCGTAGGTACTTGAGGGTTTGCTGCAACAGCACCATCCCCCCCGCAAGAAAAGCACTGTTTAAAAGTGTGGTACTTACCGTAACAGGGACGCGGGTAGTGCTGTGGGTTAAACCACAGAGCCTAGGACTTGCCGATCAGAAGGTCGGCAGTTTGAAGCCCCGCAACGGGGTGAGCTCCCGTTGCTCAGTCCCTGATCCTGCCAACCTAGCAGTTCAAAAGCACATCAAAGGGCAAGTAGATAAATAGGTACCACTCTGGAGGAAGGTAAACGGCGTTTCCGTGTGCTGCTCTGGTTCGCCAGAAGCGGCTTAGTCATGCTGGCCACATGACCCGGAAGCTGTATGCCGGCTCCCTCGGCCAATAAAGCGAGATGAGCACCGCAACCCCAGAGTCGGCCACGACAGGACCTAATGGCCAGGGGTCCCTTTACCTTTACTTACTGTAACAGCATCATGGGTAGTACTGGCACTTTTTTTCTAGAATAAAAGCATTAGCTGAGCATCATGGAGGACCCAAGATGGTGTAAAGGTTGCCAGTGTAGTTGTTGCTCCTGCCACCTGCAACATCATTATCAGCAGAAAAGCGAGAGAGAGAAAAACATGGTGTGGGAAGGCTAATGGTGAGCACCACCTCAATAAACTGTTGGAAATTTCCTCCCCTACCTGGAGCGATTTGGTGAAATGCTTTCTCTCCTCCCCCACCAATTTCTCTGCACAGAGTGGAGGCCATTTGCACACAGCTGTACCCTGACCCGTTGGGTGATTTGAGATCCCCACCTCCCAGCAAAATGCCACCCTCACCCATTTTTACTAGCAAATAGTAGTGACACACAATGGAGGGAAGCGGGTGCAGATCAGCTGCCCCTCCCAGCTCTCCACAACCTGCCGCCCGAGGCAGCCACCTCACCTTGCCTCGTGGGTGGGCCAGCTCCGGGAGAAACCATGGCCTAGGGGTCCCAATGTACCCTTCCTTCAGTGGGGCAGTGGGGCCGCATTGCTTACCTGGCTTTCCAACACGGAGGTCACTGCCCACAGCCAACTAGAGGTTGAGTCAAACTGCTTGCACTGCACTGAACTCTCTGCCACCTCGCCCTTCCTCTTGGTTATGGGCAGTAGCCCTCATATTGGGAAGAGAGGGGAGCAGCGCTGGCTCTGCCTACCCTTAGTTTCCAGTGTGCAAAGGTTTTTTTAAAGGTAATAATAATAATAATAATAATACCCTGTCCATCTTGCTGGGTTTCCCCAGCCACTCTGTAAGCATTTAGTCATGGCAACCCACAACTGCAGTGTGAAATAGTAGACATTTTGGAAATCTGACTCTGGCAAGCAGGTACAATGAAAGGCAGATTTCCCAAGAGTTGAAAGGTGGCAATTAAGCAGGAACAATACCATCAGGCTTGTTTTCCAGCTGGAACTCGCCAGAACTTAGTTCTGGCGCCTCTCAGGTGGTGCCATTGACATTCTAAGAGAACAAGGGAGCTGTTCGTGGTGAGTTCCGGCACCTTTTTCTTCTAGGAAAGTAGCACTGAATATCAGTCAGTATACAGTGAGTCCTATTTTCCTTCAGTTCCTGCATCCAAACCTAAATGAAGCTGGCATCCACGAATTTAACACAGTCAACCCGACACGCTTGACAGTCCGTGGCAGCCAGTTACAAACTATCCGGACCATGATTTGAACTTGGAAGCGCAGGGCCGAGATAAATGAACAATTATCAGGGGTGCGTTTAACATGGCAGCATTTAAGTGAACACAGTACAGATAGGAGCTGTGAAATTGAAGTGGCACCGGTGTATCTGCAGGCAATTAATAAGGCATGGCAGGCATCAGTTATAATGGCCTCATTCATTATAATGTCACCCATGCTTAATGAGATAAAATGTTTACACTTTAGATTCTAGTACTGGGGGGTGGGGGTGGCGTACAGCAGTGTGGGAAATGCTGGTTGGGGAGATACTGGATGTGAGGCCAGAATAGCCCCAGATTTTGATCTCCCCAGGATTAAGATCAGGATCAGGTGAGGAAGGATCACAGCTGGGCAGGGTTGTTTACCTAGCTTCTGTCATGACTGGTTGGATACAGAGGAATAATAATAATAATTTTTATTTTTATTTATACCCCGCACTCCCCAGCCAAGACCCGGTTTAGGGCGGCTAACACCAAATATAAAAACAATTGATTGAAATACAGCTTAAAAAACAAGATTAACATACAACATTAAAACATTAAAATACAGACTCATTTCAGTGGAAACTCAATCAAAAACTTTTTGGGGGATAAGATTTCAAGTCTTCACCAAGGCTAACTATCCAGACTGGTCCTACATGGGCCAGAAAAAAAGCCAGGGAGGTCCCCAAATAGGAGTTCCAACAGAGAAGGAGAAAGGAAAAAAGAAAGAAGGGGAGGGAACAATTCTGTCTTACAGGCCCTGACGAAAGAAATCAGATCCTGCAGGGCCCTGGTCTCATGAGACAGAGCATTCCACCAGGCCAGGGAGGAACCAGCTGGGGAACTGCCAAAGGAAGAAGACTCAGAGCCCAAGAAGTGATGGTGGAACAACAACGATCAGAGAGAGAAGAGGGAGAAGATTGGGAAGAAGAGGTGTTGGAAAGTGAGGAGGTAACAGGGCTTAGTGAGCTGGGAGAGTCCGTGGCAGAGAGAAGTCCAGAATCAGAGGCAGAAACCGAAACCAGAGAGTGGAATGAGGGAGGCTAAGAGGCAGAGAGGAGTCAGGCTGGTGAAGAGTCACGAGTGTCTCCCCCTTTGGCTGCAACAAGCTCCCCTCCCTGCTTGTCTCCCAGAACCAGAAGATGCATGAAAAGGGCAGAGGAGAGGTTGGTTGCACACAGCTGCAGTTTCTGGTTGCTTGGAAAAAGAGGAGAGGACTTAGATGACTGTGGGGAGGTGGGGACTTTCAGTCTCAGCAACTGACCTGCCAGCGATGGGCTGCTGTGCTCACTAGGCCTGACACTCAGTCAAGTCTGTGGAGATTGTGCTTTTGCTAATAAAGTGTTAACTCCAACTTGGAACAGTGTGATTTAATGCCGGCTCATTCTTTGACAGCTTCCCAAGAGCCGAGGGGGAAACGGAGAGGAAAGGGCGTGTGTGGTGACTGGAGCTGATGGAAGTGGTAGTCTAAAACATTTGGAGGCTGCCAGGTTGACAGAGGCTGGAGCATATGTTTTGAGAACCTGATTCAGGGAAGCAAGTACAATCAGAGGCAGAAAGGAGGCTATAAAAAAAGGTGGCATATAAATGCAAATTCAATTTTTTTTATTTTTTTTATTCTTCTGGGGAATATCGAATCCTTGCATTTTATTGCTGGAAGACACTTGTGGTTTTTTTTTTAAAAAGGAGCAAAGCTTGACTGGAAATATACCTTCTCTGGAATTCATAAGCTGGGTCCCCCTACCATATTTTATTTTCATTTTTATTTTTGTTTGTTTGTTTGTTGGTTTTTCACAATACATTTTTATTATTTTCATCGAGCATACATTCATAATACATTCATAACACATATACACCACATAATTATCTTTAGCTCTGCCGAGCTTTGGACTTCCCTTCACCCCTTCGGGTAAGTATCTCATATTTTCTAACATTTCGTATTTTATTTAATTAACTTATTTTTATCACCCGTTGTGAGAGTTATTCCAACCCTGCCAGTGTCTTTAACGTTTTACAACTGTCTCTTATGTACATCAAATATTTACTCCAGTTTTCTTGAAACTTCTGTTCATCCTGGTCTCGTATTTTTCCTGATAATTTAGCCAGTTCCGCATAAGTCATCATCTTAGCCTGTCATTCCATAATGGTAGGTATTACATCTGTTTTCCAGTTCTATAAATGCAAATTCTAAGCAACTGAAGGCCAGAGATGAAAATGCTATAACTGAAAAAAAGAGGGCATCAGCTTGGAGGGAGGGATGGAAGCTATGAAGGAAAAAGGGGGAATAAGGGACCATATTGCTCTATTGTAAGAATGTGAAAACCCTAATGTTGTTGTTGTTTAGTTGTTTAGTCGTGTCCGACTCTTCGTGACCCCATGGACCAGAGCACGCCAGGCACTTCTGTCTTCCACTGCCTCCCACAGTTTGGTCAAACTCATGCTGGTAGCTTCAAGAACACTGTCCAACCATCTCGTCCTCTGTCGTCCCCTTCTCCTTGTGCCCTCCATCTTTCCCAGCATCAGGGTCTTTTCCAGGGGTCTTCTCTTCTCATGAGGTGGCCAAAGTATTGGAGCCTCAGCTTCACGATCTGTCCTTCCAGTGAGCACTCAGGGCTGATTTCCTTAAGAATGGAGAGGTTTGATCTTCTTGCAGTCCACGGGACTCTCAAGAGTCTCCTCCAGCACCATAATTCAAAAGCATCAATTCTTCGGCGACCAGCCTTCTTTATGGTCCAGCTTTCACTTCCATACATCACTACTGGGAAAACCATAGCTTTTACTATACAGACCTTTGTTGGCAAGGTGATGTCTCTGCTTTTTAAGATGCTGTCTAGGTTTGCCATCGCCTTCCTCCCAAGGAGCAGGCGTCTTTTAATTTCATGGCTGCTGTCACCATCTGCAGTGATCATAATGTATAGATTAAAAAGGTGCTGCACTGAAAGAGGTTTGTGAGTGCAATAACAACATTCGCTTCCACCTGGGCTTGACCAACAATTCCCCTCTTCCCCAGGAGAAAATGCCCAAGGATTTTGAATGTTTGAATGAACTATTTGAGCCCGCCCTCCCCAATTCATTTTCAGGGCAAGAAGCCATTTCTAATCTGAATTATCCCCATCCTTGTGTTGAGATGCAAGGTTTACTCTCAACTGCATGGCTATCTGAATCAGCCAGAAAGGAGCTGAATAATCATAGCCTGTCCTGAAGTTTTGCAGTCTGTTTTCAGAATCCTCACCCCAGAGTGGCAGTTCTATTTCTTAAAAATCCCCAAACAAAACTCCACTGTCATCTTGAGCCTTTTGGAACGCTCTCCAAAGCGCACAGCATGACAAGCTTTTCTTCTTCCTTTTGCAGCAAGAAAAATTACTCAGCCTTCAAGCACTGACAGGAAAAGGGGATTTATTGTGTTTGGTGGCTATTAGCGGTTATAATATATGTTATCAAACTCTGTGCTGAGAATGGTTACCCTAGACTGCAAGTGAGAAAAGACGGCACAGATTGTGTCTGAAGAGGTTTCTAGTTCCTATCTGCCTTAATGGAGGCAGCTCCCACGACATCGCGGGGATCGAAGGCGGAGAAAAACAAGAATGATAGAGGGTAAAACATTCTTGGAAATTCCTCCCTGGGAAGGGAGAAATCTTCATTCGATGTCCGTCTCAGTACTTGGCTTTCGCTCCGGCATGGAATGCAGGGGGCAGAGAGGCGCTGAGTGCAAAAGCACTTCGCCTGTCAAAAACCCTCCTATGCCACCATTAAGAATCAGAGGTTCTCCTGTCAATTACAGTAGGTTTTTAACTGGCTTTAAAGTCAGGCACGCTCTGAGAGAAGATGTTGTCATCAGAACTGTGGAATTATCCATCTGCATTGATCTGAAAAAAGATTTTATTCGGTATGGGCAGTGGCTGGCGGAAGGGTAGTGCCGGATTTACGTATAAGCTAAACAAGCTATAGCTTAGGGCCCCACTCTCTTAGGGCACCCAAAAAAATTAAAGGAAAAAAACCACTGGACGTACATTTCCAAAATATAAGAAAAAACAAATAAAATAAAACCTACATACAGCAACAGTGTTTTGTGTTCTGTAGGCTCCTATTTGTTGTGTGCAAATGGCTTTAGATACCTATTAGGTCTATAAATTACCCTATAGCATATATTCAACACAAAAAACAGTGACAATCTGTTGTTGACAAAGGACAGCTGGAGATATAAAGGGCCCCTGTACCTCCAGTAGCTTAGGGCCTCATCAAACCTAAATCTGGCCCTGCAGAGGGGGGGAGCCTCCCGTTTCCTGTTTATTTGAGTTTCTTTGTTAATGATTTGGCAACTCTCTCCAGATGCAAAATTCTAAAGATACAAAATGAGGTTGGACTGCAGTGTGGAATAAAATTTGTGATTAAAAGAACAGTTAGCTGTGTGTGGTTTAAAGAGATGGTATGGTGGGGGGAGAGCTCTAATGTTGGAATGGGTTATCTTGGAAAATTAGAGCGGATACCATCTCTACCTCCAAAAAAACAACAACAAAGAAGAGATATAACTGAAGTGGACTTTGGCCAAAATGCAGTCATAAAGATGAAAAGAATTTGGAGCCGTGGACGAGGGGAGGCATGGAGACTTTGATGGTGATGAATTAAAATGAAAGTACTACAAGATCCCCTGCGGCGGAAGCTGGATCCCTCTTTCCTGGGCTGTGGAAATTTCTAGATGTTGACTGAGCAGTGAGAAAGAGCGGGCTGTTGGAGTATGTCATTGTCTGGAAACACCGAACAAGATGAGAACACGATGGAAGGCAGCTAATGAGACATTCTGATAATTCTCCAGGATTACAGCACCACCGCAGATACGCTGAGAGACAACAGCAATTGAAGGAATTTCAAGAATTGGACAGCAGACAAAGGCCAAGGACTTTATAATTGGACATATTCAGACTGACACATGCAGAGAAAAGGAAAATAATTAGAGCACCTCATTTGAAATCCTATGGAAAGTTAGATCAGGTATTAACACAAACAGTAATCGCTAAAAATGCGTCTGTTATCTTAATGATTAATATACCAACTGAAATGTAATTGGATGTTAATGGAAAATATGAACCGCAGCAATATAAGAATTGGACAAAAACACTGATCAAGGAGCACAGGAAACCACTTTGATTAAATTGTATAAATTTGGAATTGGTATAATTGGCAAAACTGTGGTAATATTGGGTAAATATTGGGAAATTAAATAAACATTATTATTTAAAAAAACAAATGGTGTCTGAAGAGCAAATCTATAATTTGAGCGTTTAGGGTGTTTTCAGTGTCATAGGGAAAATTATATCTTTGTATTTTTAAACATGAAAACTGATGTCTGCCGTTTCTCTTACATCCTCCAAGGTAGGCAGAGGAGGTAATTTGCAAATTCAACCAGCGTTATGCAGAACATTTCTCCTGGGTTTGTTTGTTTTAAATCCGTTTTCCGTCCGTTAATGAGAAAAGAAATTGCATTCAGAAATGATCACGGAGTGGGATAAACTTTGCTGAAGTTCTCATGGGAAGGGAAGGGAAGGGGAGCCATCGTTTTTGTTTTCTTTTAAATGCATTTGCTGTTTCCGTGCTTTTAAGTTTTATAAAAATTATCTTTAAGTGCACGTCACATTGAGGCAGTTGTTTGGGAGGAAATCAGTAAATAAATGACCAGAACGTGGGAAGTTGCCTTATACTGAATCAGACCATTGCTCCATCTAGCTCAGGGTTGTCTACACTGGCTCCCAGTGGCTCTCCAGGAACTTTCCCAGACTAACCTGGAGATACCGGGGATTGAACCTGGAACCTTCTGCACACAAAGCAGATGCTCTAACCCTGAGCTACAGCCAGACAGAGGGGCCTGAGGAGCTACATTTGGTCCTTGAGCTGGACAAAATCCTTGAGCTGGACCAATCCTGGAAGAGGACAATCACCTGTGAACACCCCTTGGCCACTGCATTTAGTGGCAAATGCCAGTAAATGTGGAACCAGTGGGGGTGTAGTGGTTATTAGGACTGGTGAGATCTGGGTTCAAATCCCTGCTCAGTCACAAAGCTCGCACTGGGTGTGCTTGAGCCAACCACTCTCTCCCAGCCTAACCTACCTCACAGGGTCACTTCAACGCCAAAATGAGAAGAGGGGGGACCATGAACACCCCCTTGAGCTCCCTGGAGGAGAGGAGGGATAGAAATGTCATTGAAATTCTACTCAATATTGATCCAGAGCAGATTCTGTCAGCATGAGAGGACCGGGAGGCCAGCTGGCAAGCCTCAACTGGGCTGTCTCCTCCCAGTCTTCCCACTTCGAAGACCATCGGCATCTGGTCCGACATAAATCAGTGACCCGGGCTTCAAAGCCAGGGCATGCTATCAGCAGAGTAAACTGCACACACAGAATAGGCGTGAGGCTTGTGGAAGCATACTACAACTACAGATTAATCATAAATCAGGACAAAGAAACATGTCATCTCTCTCTCGCCGTCTCAGAGAGAACAGGAAAAGCAAAAGCGATACACAGCGGAAGTTCCCAGCAAGCTGTGCTGAAATGTAAACAGACATGTGACACGCAACAGTTCCACACATCTGCTCCTTAAGGTGGAATAGAAATGTCAACAGATTCCAGCGTCTAGTTAGCAGAGTAAGAATTTAAACACGTTGCAGGATTCCCAAAAAATAGACCAGAGGCAATTGTATTTCATCCAGTAGAGCTTTGCTGCTACTGAAGGCAATGACTGTTCCTCACATCAAATGGGGGGTGCCTTTTGTGCGGCCGCACGCAGCCCCCCCCCAATCCCATGCGGCTCCTGGCCGTACAGCCTGGATATGCCCCCCCTCCAGGCTGGACACCTGAAGGTAGCCACCTACCTCTGCCAGTTACCCAATCCCAGCTGGGTGGGGGGCGTTGCCAGGAGAGAGTTGGCCAGGTAAGGGGAGGGATTGACCAGCCCACACAACAGTGGGCGGAACTTACCTGGGAGTTCTCAGTCGGCTTCAGAGCTTCTCCCACCCTGCCCTCCCTTAGTTAAGCCTTCTTTTGCAGGTTAACCTCTTCATCACAGGTGCGCAGGTGCTGCTATGCTATGGTCACTGTTGAAGGGCCGGAAAGGAATTTTCCTGCATTGGCAGGTTTTGCCTTCCCTGTAGCAAAATGTCACAACTTTGGCGGTTTCAGGCCATGGGCGGAATCCTTTAGTCTATCTTCCCTAAATGGGGGGGGGCATGACCCACGCCTCCCCTGAAGCGGTGATCCCAGGGTTCCCCATTAAAGGGGTTGTTTTGAGGGGAGGCATTGGCCACAGGCCATTAGGTTGTCATTGCACCCCTGCGATGGTGGCAAAACAGGGGGTGGGCTCTCTGCTTGAACAGACTGTGGCGTTCGTACGAAGCCCCCGGTCGTCTCACGGACTATTGACCAGTACACCACTAATCCGCTGCCATCAACTAGGTCCTCCCTAGTAAAATCACCTAGTCTCAGTCAGGTTCTCAAGGTAACAAATAACAATAATTGTTATGTACTGAAGTTCTCACCCTGGGCCAGCAGGGGGATACTGTAGATAGTTATGCAAATGAAGGATCGAAAAGTGACGTTCAGGTCTTTGCCCGGAACTATGTGGGGGACATTCCTTGGGTGCCAGCCACAGTAGTGGGAGTCACTGGACCTCGCTTGTACCAGGTGGCACTTGAAGATGGATGCTTGTGGCGCCGGCACATAGACCAGCTTAGGTGCAGGGTTGGGGACTTGGACACTGCCGTGGTGCCCCCAACTGCGCTCGTGGCTCCAGAAGAGACACTTACAGATGGCGAGGCTCCACCTACACCTCCCTCGCAAACTGCCAGGGTGGAGCCGAACCAAGCCGCTTCAGAGGGTCTGCCAGACTTACCACAGGCTCAGACTTGCGGAGACTCCACTTTCGGAGGCTCCACCCACAGCAGCAGATCCAGGGGATTTGGTTTCAACCTAGGGTCGCACCACAGCCTCAGCAAGAATTGTGTGGCCCCCTGGACTTGGCTACCGGTCCCCGGCGGTCTGGCAGAGTTTCCAAGCGCCCAACTTATTTAAAGGACTATGTTGTTGGACATGTATCACTGTTGGTCTAAGTATGGGAAATGTAACCGATATGCTTTTGTGCCTAATTGAACCATTACGATTGTAACTAACGCCTTATCTCGGTGGGGAGGGGTGTTATGTACTGAAGTTCTCACCCTGGGCCAGCAGGGGGATACTGTAGATAGTTATGCAAATGAAGGATCGAAAAGTGACATTCAGTGATTGGATCGTTTTGTATGCAAATGAAGGATCGAAAAGTGACGTTCAGTTATTGGATAGTTTTAGAAAATGGCAACAGTTACATTGTTCTGGAGCTCTATATAAGCAGGCTGACTGAGCTCCTCAGCTTAGTTCTGTTCCAGCTTACAAAATAAAGAGCTGCTTTGGAGAAATCGCTGTGTCGTCTGCTATGTCAACCCACAACATCATAATAATAATAATAATAATAATAATAATCTGGCTGAGTTTCCCCAGCCACTCTGGGCGGCTCCCAATCAAATGTTAAAAACAGTACAGCGTTAAATATTAAAAACTTCCCTGAACAAAGAAGAGTGTAGTTTATTGTAGACACAAACTTTAACTGCATTCCAAACGTTGTTACTCTTTACCTTCTTAGTCTTATTTTATCGTCTCTCTATCTCTTCTACCTCCCCTCACTCAAGAACCCACTGCACTAACTGTCTCTCTCTTTCCAACTGCCTGCCAACTGCTTTTCCAACTGCCTTTCCCAACCAGCCAACCCACTAAAACCAACCAACTACCCACCAACAACTAACTCAAACCTCGGGCTAAGGCCTTTTATAAACGGATAGGCTCCACCTCCAGCTTCTCTATTGGTCTACATTTTTAACCCTTTCTCTCCCCCCTGTACAGACAGTTTCTAAACGAACGGGCAAACGCCACACAGACATTCTCCAGAGCCAGCCCAATCCCCACATATTCTGGATAATGCTGATGTTCCCCAGATCCCCGGCCGGGGACTGGGAGGGATAAACGCCCAATGCCTAAGCCAAGGTCTCCCTACATCTGAAGTATTAATAAAGTTGTGGCCAAATTTTAATCCCATAAAACGTTGTCTTGAGCCATTATTCCACGCGGGTGTCGCCCAGGGTCAGGGGGTTTCTGCCTGTCTGCGCAAATGAGCATAATGGCCACAAATCCAATACATTCAGGATTGGCATTGTCCATAAGAAATTCAGTTGCAGCAGACTTGACTTAAGCTTGCCATAACTAAAACCTTAGCGCTAAGCATACTAGGTACAGAACACCACACCAGAAGGAAAAGAGATAGAAAGTAAAAGTGAAACGCAGGCTCCTTCTGGTCCTACAGTTATACTCAGCATGACCTTGACAGAAAGAGATAACAGAATCAGTTTAAGCCATTGTACTCAGCTTCTCTGAAGGTATAACCCAAACACCAGGAGCCTTCTGCTTTTTTCTTTCACACAGAGAAGCTTCCAGAACCCTCCTGAATTCATTAGAATAGGAAAGATCTCTACACATCAGATCAATACTTTCTGCACCAAGAAATGCAAACTGACAATAAATGCAATAAAAAGTCAAATGAAATAGTTTTCCTCAAGCATCCTGAGAAAGAAAAATAAAACGCAAGGGCTTCTTTCACACAGGATGAAGGTTACCTAGAAATTTGAGGGCAGAGTGCGGCAAAGCTCCCGGCCAAACTCCAAGCACAATTCATACCGTTGCATTTCGAGGATGAATTTTGGGCCCTTCTCTAAAGCGACAGATTGATGTGAAGACCACACAGAAATGGCATGTGCTTCCTTTTGTTCTACATCATCTGTCTTCCCCAAGGCAATAAAATCCTAGAACGGTAAGTGGCCTCAAGAATAGTTACAGACTAGTGGAAATAGGGTGAAGGGTTGAATGAGGGGAGCTTGAACTGTGAACTAGCCTGTTTCAAAAGCTTAATTTGAGCCAGCTTCTCCAGGCTCCTTCGAGCTGGGCCTAACTTTGAACTAGGATTCATCCCAACATTTCACAAGGGTGTGTGTGTGTGTTTAACTTTTAGAAGACATCTGAAGGCAGCCCTGTATAGAGAAACCTTTTAATATGGAATGTTTTTATATTATTTATTATGTTTTTATATATGTTAGAAGCTGACCAGAGCGGCTGGGGCAACCCAGTCAGATGGGTGGGGTATAAATAATAACATTATTATTAATTATTATTATTATTATTATTATTATTATTCCACTCTTTGTTGGCCGAGTACCAAATGTGACTTATTCTTATTCCTGGATTGAACACTGACCTTTCTGTGTGCAAAACATTTGTTTCACTCTTACGGTTCCCTGCCTGCCGCCCAAATACCTGCGTACAGCCATTTATTTGACCCTTGCCTCTCCCTTCTTTCCCTAATACCCCTTGTCTCCCCCTGCCCATCCCTCCTAGATGCTTAACATGCTGGAAGGTGCTGTATATTTCAGTGTTGATATTGTTTAGTCGTTTAGTCATGTCTGACTCTTCGTGATCCCATGGACCAGAGCACGCCAGGCACTTCTGTCTTCCACTGCCTCCCGCAATTTGGTCAAACTCATGCTGGTAGCTTCGAGAACACTGTCCAACCATCTCCTCCTCTGTCGTCCCCTTCTCCTTGTGCCCTCCATCTTTCCCAGCATCAGGGTCTTTTCCAGGGAGTCTTCTCTTCTCATGAGGTGGCCAAAGTATTGGAGCCTCAGCTTCACGATCTGTCCTTCCAGTGAGCACTCAGGGCTGATTTCCTTAAGAATGGAGAGGTTTGTTCTTCTTGCAGTCCATGGGACTCTCAAGAGTCTCCTCCAGCACCATAATTCAAAAGCATCAATTCTTCAGCGATCAGCCTTCTTTATGGTCCAGCTTTCACTTCCATACATCACTACTGGGAGCCTCAGCTTCACGATCTGTCCTTCCAGTGAGCACTCAGGGCTGATTTCCTTAAGAATGGATAAGTTTGATCTTCTTGCAGTCCATGGGACTCTCAAGTCCCCTCCAGCACCAGAATTCAAAAGTATATTTCAGTAGTGCTACATTAATGCTAGTGTTGATGCCATAGTGAGAATAATGCATTCCGTAGAAAGGGGGGCTCCCCACAAGAGACCCAATGGGTCCCTTGGCACCACTGCACACACAGAACCTTGACAAGCGAAGCTTGTTTTCACCTCCGGCCGTGTGAAATCCAGAGATGAGGCTGCCCTGCCGCCAAAGGCAGCCGTGAGCTGAGGCTGCAGCCTCCTCATTAGCAGCCGCCTTGGAAGCTGCAAAATCACCCCCCAAACAGCAAGCCCAACAGAGAAACCAGACTCCTAATTTGTGCTCAATTATGAAGCGCTGGCGCCTTTGCATTAAAGAGCTTTAAAGGAGCAATCGTCGGCAGCACGCGTGATATAATTATCTCCACAGTGTGGTGTGTCACTGTGGGCTGCGAAGCCATAGCTGTTACTTCTGCCTGCGCATTAACAGAGCATATATCGCAAGTGGCGGTGGCATGTGCACAATGCTTCGCAAAGCAGGCTTATTGAAACGAATGCCCCTCCTGGCTGGAATGTGTCCTTGGGCTCCAATAACGCCACTTGCACATTGAGATAGAAGATAGAGAGAGGGGTGTGTGAGCTTGTGTAGAAACTAGCCAACCGTACAAAGGTTAAAAAAAAATTGCATTAAGGGTCCCACCCACTTTTGCTTCTGGCTCCACCCATCCCCAAGTGGCCCCTGGAAGGTTACTTAGAAAGGAATATGGCCCTCGGGCCAGAAAATGTCCTCTATCTCTGGCAGGAACTCACAGTGTGTTGGATTTCCCCCCCAACAACGACATGTGGCGTATAGCTGAGAATGTGTTTCTCATTCTGGGTTTATTTTCCTCGGGCGTTTCATGGGCCGTTTCATTCCCTCAGAACCGCTTAATCACAATTCTCCTTCAAATGAGAATGGCAGGGTGGTTATTTCTGCGTAGCTGGGATGGGGCTGCGTCATTATCTCAATTAAGCGCCAGCTGAGCCAGGATGACTGTCATCCTCGAAACATTTAAGCTGTCTCCAGCCGCACCAAAGTCAAAATGGGAGACGGATGTCTGGATTGAAACAGCGATGGGCAGCTGCAAGGTGGCGAGAGATTGTGCCAAAATACACCTGGATCTAGCACTTTCCAACAGGCTATCTACATGCTGGCCTTAGCAATTCATGTATGTAAGCTGCAGATTTGTGCATTTTTGACCCTCCAGGTCCATGAGTCACTGGCCAAATGTGTGAGTCATTGCACTAGCGGAGAAACACAATATTGGAATGGGGACATAGTTGTACGATCATCCACTGTCCCGTGTTGTAAGTTGAAAAGCACCTGTTGCAGCTTTGATCTTGGAGCCTCACCCTTCCTCCTTTCAGTCCAAGATCAGCATCTAAACATATTGTTTAACTCTCTCACTGAAATCAATGAGGTTCCTATGTTAGGGATGGGGCGAACCCATGGACCTCCAGCTGTTAATGGCTTCTCAACTCCCATCAGCCACTGCCAGCATGGCTGCTGCTCAAGCAACCTTTCGTTCAGCACCATCTGGAGGTCTGAAGATTCTATTGTTTCTGCTTTACAGGCTTAACATCATCCTGATTGTGACCGCAGTTTTCCAGAGATTTTTGTTTCACTTTGCTTTGAATACAGGTGAACATTCAACCAGGTGATTTTCCAACACCTGCAGTTCTGGAATGATACAATCCTTTAAAAATAATAATATCTTGAACTGGTTAGTCTGGTTGCTCAAAGACAGTATTGGGAACAGGTGAGAGGCACAGACAACTGCTGCCAGAATGAAATTTGGACAGATGGACAGAAGCGATAAACAAGCGGGAAGAAGGAAAATCATTAGAAGCAAATACAGTACCGGTGTCACAAGGAGACCTTGAGGTTCTCAAGCATTTGCTTTTAGGAACCTGCTAGCAATTCTAGCATCTATGGCATACAAGAAAACATATTGCATTTATCGTTTTTTCTAACCTTCACGTGTATAACACATATCTAAGCAGAGGTAGTTCTGCTCTGGATATATCTAAAGGTAAAGGTAAAGAGACCCCTGACCATTAGGTCCAGTTGTGGCCGACTCTGGGGTTGCAGCGCTCATCTCGCTTTATTGGCCGAGGGAGCCGGCATACAGCTTCCGGGTCATGTAGCCAGCATGACTAAGCCACTTCTGGCTAACCAGAGCAGCACACAGAAACACCGTTTACCTTCCTGCTGGAGTGGTACCTATTTATCTACTTGCACTTTGACGTGCTTTTGAACTGCTAGTTTGGCAGGAGCAGGGACCAAGCAATAGGAGCTCACCCCGTCGCGGGGATTTGAACCACCGACCTTCTGATTGGCAAGTCCTAGGCTCTGTGGTTTAACCCACAGCACCACCCGCGTCCCTGGACATATCTAAATACATGCAAAAAAACAGGGGAAGGACTCCAGGTACTAGAAATGGGCTTTATGGAATGATACAATCCTGGCACAGTTTTGTCATGTGATATGCTGTTTGCATAATCTGCCTCTCTTGAGTCCTAACCGGTTGTGGAGCATCAAGGGAAACCCAAAAATTGTAGTTATCTTGTACTATAGAGGATACTATAATTGTGGCGCTAAAAGGGACCCTCCAGATCATCTAGTCCAAACCCCTGCAATGCAGGAATATGCAGCTGTTCCATATGGGGATCAAACCTGCAACCTTGGCGTTATCAGCATCAGGCTCTAACCAACTGAGCTAACCATTTGTTGGAGGATGGGGGGCAGTTTGTTCTTTTGTTTGTTCTTTTGCATATCAGCAAGCAAACTGTGCTGGCTGGTTTCCAGCGCTGTAGAATTGAAACCTCTCTTCACAGTGTTTGAAAGCTGTGCCCGTTGCACCGCCAGCTGCCGGAGAATCAAATGATAGATGCTTCTTGTTTCCTACACTCATGCTATCAATCTCCGTGGCTTTCAAAAGAGTCAAGGATACTATTTAAAGGAACGGGCTGAATATTTCTGTTCTTAAGTGTACATGCCAAGCTTAGACCTTGCAATATCTTACCTGGAGGCTGTCTTGTCCGATGCGGTTTTGAGTCACGCCAGTTAACTAACTAGAGGGGTTGACTAATGGCAAAAGGACGGCTGCTTTAAGGCCTGAAATGGGAAACAGGAGAAGCAGCCGACGATAATGTCATCTCGATTGCCTTTTCTGCCTTATTCTGGTTTTGAGAGAGGAGAAGGGGAAGATCATGTGTTTCCCTGGATGACCTTGGCTTTAAAAATGAAGAAATAGATTTAGGAAAGTTACAGAAGCTTTCATCTCTTGCCCTGAGACTCCGCAAGAGAATAGATCTTGACAGCTGTCGGGAAATATATAGATTCAAGTAGGTAGCCGTGTTGGTCTGCCGTAGTCAAAATAAATTAAAGCATTTTTTTAAAAGATAGTTAAAAAGACTCTTCTTAAAAACCTAAAAACTCCCTCAAAAGAATCCAGTCTTCAAAAAAGTTATACGATCTAAGAAAGTCTTTAAAAGAATCCTTCCAAAAGAATTAAAAAATTATAATGTAGCACCTTAGAGACCAACTGAATAGTTTTAGGTATAAGCTTTCGTGTGCATGCACACTTCTTCAGATACACTGAAACAGAAGTCATCAGACCCTTATATATAATGAGAGGGAGGGACGAGGGGATGGGTGATTGGCTAATGGGTATGGTAAGTCTGTTAGTGCCGTTAATGACAGTTGGTCCCACAAGAAAAAGAAAAAGCAAGAGATTTTTAAAGGGACAGTACATAGATGACCAAGAATAGTTTTAGCCTGTGTAATGGGATAAGAATCCAACATCGCTGTTCAGACCAGGTCTCTCCAGTTTAGTGATAAGTTGTAATTCAGCAACTTCTCTTTCTGAAATTCTTTTGTAATAGGACAGCCACTTTGAGATCTTGTATTGAATGTCCTGGGAGATTGAAGTGCTCCTACTGGTTTCTCTGTCTTGTGATTCCTGATGTCAGATTTATGTCCATTTACCCTTTGACCGGTTTGGCCTGTTTGTCCAATATAGACAGCTGAAGGGCACTGCTGGCATTTGATGGCATACACAATATTAGAAGATGAGCAATTAAATAGGCCTGAGGTGGTATGTTTGATGTTGTTGGGGCTTCCTGTCTCCAGACAGATAACTTTGCGACAGCACAGAAACCAGGAATGTCTGAGCGGACTAGGCATGGAAGTGAGATGAGCACACTCACCAACAGCAGCAAAAGCAAGCTGAGCAAATGTAAAATGTATTTGCATGCACAATTCTCCTCCCGCCCCAGCAGCCAATTTAGGCTGCTTTGTTGAATCTGAACTGATGTGTGGACATGGACAACGATGACAGTGGTCCATTAAGTCAGGCACTTGGGGACAGAACCCCACCCAGCCGAATGGCCAGGAGGGCCTCCAAATGCAGCGAAATAGTACATATTACCATTTTAAGAGGGGGTACTTTTAAGACCAATATGCATTGACTCTTAACATTACCTAACCGTACCAGTGAACCCTGGTGTGCTGGTCCCGGGGGGGGGGGTGTTACCATGAGGCGTGGTCAGAGTCTGGTCCTGGGCTGAGGGTCTGGAGACTGTCCACAAAGGGCAAAGCGGGGTCCAAAGCAAGAAGCCGGGCGTGGTCGGGAACTCCGGAAAAACAGGTCTGGGTGCTGGCAGAAACAGGTTTGCAACGTCGTTGCTCCCGCAGCCTGGGACTGGGCTGACTGGCCTTTATCTCCTCTGGGGCCTAGGGTGGTCCCGGCCCACAGGTGACTCACCTCCCCTGGCCTTAAGGTGAGCACTCCTCCTGAGAGAACCTAGTTCCCTCCGCCTCTCTGCCCTGAACCTCTGCAGCTCAGGAGAGGCTGGAGGGCTACTGGACCCAGAGGCAACCTTCCCCTGACAGGGCTGGGAGAGGAGCACCTGCAGGCAATGGGTCCTCAATCACCTCCGGAGCCAGAGTGGATTCATCTGGTGTCTGCTCCTGAGGATCCAGCACAGGTGCAGGCCCTTCAGATTCAAGCCCCTGCCCCGGCTCAGCTGGCCCTGGAGGCAGGGACTCCTGTGCAGGCTGGGATTCCTCCGGTTCAGCCTCTGAATCAGATTCCCAGGCCATCACACCTGGACTCACACCTGTACTCATTGCATGCAGCAAGGCTTCCATTCTGCTGCAGTCCTTCTTCTGCCAAAACTACATTACTTGCCTTGCTGTCCTCCTCTGTGACAAAATTACATAACTAATCATGCACATTGCATAATTTATGTTGTCCATCCATTATTCCAACCTATTCACTTCAATGCAAAGGAAAAGCAATGCAAAAAACAACATTGTAATCAATCATGTATTATTATTTTTTTGCAGAAAGAAAGCAAGAATGACAGAGAATACCGATTACATTTGCTGGATTGCATTCCGTTCCAGACAAATAAGTGAATATCAGCAGTTTCTGCATCTGCTTCCATCAGAATCCTCTGACATTCATACTGTAGATAGGATCATTTCAAGGAAGATGTTGCGAGGGAGATGGGAATTTTCCTAAGCCATGCAAGGTCTTTGACTTTGAGCTCTGGCTCTCTGTGGGCACAAACTGCCTCGGCCTTCGGCTGTCAGCTGAATGACCAGGCAGAGTATATCTCAGATGCTTCCTGCTATAGTCTGCTTTACTTGACAACCACTGCTGTTCTCTCTGTTCATGTATGTCACACACAGGCCCTGAGCAAATGCCCTTTTCAAGGTCACGCGATAGACTTTTATTATTCTTGTCGTAAGGCATCTGTCGTCTCCGGAAACAGCCCAATGACCTCAGCAGTGTTACCCAAGCTGATATAAGCATTCAAGAAATGTCAAAGACAGATGGCTTGAGAGACTCTCTTCCACTGCTTCTAAATCACCGTGGACCTGCATCTTGCGCAAGCTGAGCTCTGCAAACGGCGAAGGACTGTGAAGAAAATGAGGCCAATATAGTATCTAACACAAACCTGCTTTGCTGTAATTTGAAGCCAGATTGAATGGTGCTGCCCACAATTTAAAGCTCTGCACTTGCTCCCCAGCCTATTCATCACAAGGCCGGATGCTGGTGTTTGGGAGCCCTGGCGCAGTTCCCCAAACAGGGCCTCTTCCCCCTAAAAAGGAGTGCCCAAAATGCCTGAAATAATCCCCCCCTCTCTCTCACACACACAGTCTTGTGGTATCTGAAAGACTACCAAAAAGTAAAATACAGTGGTACCTCAGGTTAAGAACTTAATTCGTTCTGGAGGTCCGTTCTTAACCTGAAACTGTTTTTAACCTGAGGTATCTCTTTAGCTAATGGGGCCTCCCGCTGCTGCCATACCGCCGCACAATTTCTGTTCTCATCCTGAAGCAAAGTTCTTAACCTGAGGTACTATTTCTGGGATAGCCGAGTCTGTAACCTGAAGCCTCTGTAACCCGAGGTACCACTGTAAAATAAACTGAGCATACACAGTTTCACAATTCTCAGCAAACTACAAACAAAAAACTGTGCCAAGCTTGATAAAAAAGGAGTAACGAACTCTTAACTCATCATTGGTTTTGCTCGCTGCCTGCCTTTAGCCAGTCCCACAAAATGGTACAAAATGGCTGCAGAAGGGAATTTGTTCTTGTATCACAGGCATCAAATTTTGGTTCCTTTACTTCCCACACCCCTATTGTGGACTGACCAGCCCTTCCATGATCACTTTTTGGGACTCATGACACTTGGGACCCAACACACACACACACACACACACACACACACACGGGGGCTATATCCGCTAGATTGGGGAAAACAAGCTCAGTTGCATCTGCTTTGAATTCAGAATGTCCCAGGTTCAGTCCACAACATCTCCAGGTAGAATCATAGAAATGTAGAGTTGGCAGGGACCCCAAAGGTCATCTGGTCCAACCCCCTGCAATGCCAGAATCTCTGCTAAAGCATCCATGATAGATAGCCATCCAACCTCTGCTTAAAAACCTCCAGTGAAGAGGAGTCCACCATTTCCCGAGGGAGACTGTTCCACTGTCAAACAGCTCTTACCGCCAGGTATGGCTGGGCTGGGCGAGATTTTTGCCTGAAACTGTGGAGAGCCTCTGCCAGTCAGTGTAGACAGTTCAGAGCTAGATGGACTGGTGGTCTGACTCAGTATAAAGCTGCTTCTTATGCTCCTATTTTTCTATTAGACCAGTATCCATAAAGTAACATATGCAAATGATGCCCTCCAGACTTTTAATGAAGTCGCCAGTGGGGCTGCTTCAGAAGCAATAGCCCCTCTTAAAAGGGAAAGGGAAAGGGACCCCTGACCATTAGGTCCAGTCGTGCCCAACTCTGGGGTTGCGGTGCTCATCTCGCTTTATTGGGCGAGGGAGCCGGCGTACAGCTTCCAGGTCATGTGGCCAGCATGACTAAGCTGCTTCTGGCGAACTGGAGCAGCGCACAGAAACGCTGTTTACCTTCCTGCCGGAGTGGTACCTATTTATCTACTTGCACTTTGACGTGTTTTCGAACTGCTAGGTTGGCAGGAGCAGGGACCGAGCAACAGGAGCTCACCCCATCATGGGGATTCGAACCGCCAACCTTCTGATCGGAAAGTCCTAGGCTCTGTGGTTTAACCCACAGCACTACCTGCATCCCTTTTATGGCCCCTCTTACCTGTTCCTTTTTCTTTCGCCAGCAGTGCCTGGAAATCCCCAGTGCTCTGTATCCCTTTCAAGCTTCAGATCCCCTATTGTTACCTCCTGCCGACGCCCCACCTCCCTCCCGAGCTTCCATAAAAGCCCACTTAAAGGGAAGTTGAACTTCAAAGCATTCGACTTGAAAATTCTCCCCAGTGCTGTTTCCACCCCTGGAAACAATGATGAATACCACTGCAGGCTCCTCTGTAAATTCCCTGCTAGCTGCTGCTGAGGACGCAGCTGAGAAGCACAACAGCCGCAGATCATTTATTCCAGCGGGGTGCATATCAGAAATGCAAATAAGGCTTCACAATGAGCTTAATTCACAAAATATATAAACGTTATCATAAAGAATTAATACAATCACTCACTGGAAGAAAGAGTAAAACAAAAGAACTCCGCATTCTTATATCCTGCAGTCAAGAGGTGAAAGAAATGTAAGATAATAATCACAAGGCCTCTGGAAAAAAACACACACCATATATACTCCTAACACACCAGGCAACACTAATTGCTGTGATTTGTGGAAGTTGTGTCTTGCCAGAGCTGCTATTCAAGTCATTAAAAAAATAATCCCTTTGCTTGCAAAATTATGATTTCCTTCACTTTTGTTTTGCTTGGAAATATTTATGCTTGTTTAATTGCCCCGTTTGGAATTATATAATAAAAATGCAAGGCTGTCATCATGCTGCAGTTTGCTTGGCTGCCACTGGTGGCGCTGCAAAGTACATAGTCATGACATGTTTCTGAGAGCTGCTTCTCAATTGAACCAATATTGGGCTGTAAGGAAAAGGAAAGCAGAGGAGTGAGATGAGCAGGTGAGCAAGCGAGCCATGCTGGGGCAGTTCCCTAGCAACCATCTTGCTCTGCCACTGCCCACTGCTTCCCTCCTGCTCTCCCTCCACCACTGAGGCTGAAATGGTATTGTTGGTGTGAGATGATCAGGATAAGTAGGAGGAACAGGGCCATGCAGTAAAACTGAGCAGAACTTAATAATCAATGCAGCATAAGTATGTTGTTCCAGTATGGAACTGACTCCTTGACAAAGTCCTACGTATTAAGAAATTGGAGTGCAAATAAAAAATGCTTTTTTCCAGCACAATTCCTTGTTTCCACATGTGTGCAGGGCCCAGAATATGGTTCAAAGTAATCCCTAGTGATAGAATAATAGAATGGTAGAGTTGGAAGGGACCCTGAGGGTCATCTAGTCCAACCCCCTGCAATGCAGAACTCTCAACTAAAGCATCCACGACAGACGGCCATCCAATCTCTGCTCAAAAACCTCTCTTCTCTCTGTGCGTGATTTAAAACTTCTATGTGGTTTACAAAAACAATAAAACATTTAAAGTATCAGTTAAAGACCGTTGGAAACCGCTATTTAAAACATCCAGAAGATAATTAAAATCAAGCTAGAAAAAGATTAAAACACACATCAATTAATTGTTTTACATATTTGGACAGGCTTGCCGAAACATTCAGAAACATTCAGAAAACCATTCAGCAAAACACCTGTCCAATGCCGTTAGGCTTGCAGATTTGTACTGCTCAACCACCCAGAGAAGGTTATCGGGTGATAAACAAATGTTGCAAATAAACCTTCCCTACCTGGTTCCCCTCCCAAAGTTTTGGATGACAATTCCCATAATTGCTGGCGATGGACGATGCTGTCTGAGGCTGATGGGAGCTGTAGTCCAGAACACTTGGTAGGCATCAGTTTGGGGAAGGCTGTTGCAAATAAACGAACATTTCCCCAGGGCTTCTGAAACCTGACAGCACATTTCATGCCACATTGCTCTCAACAAATACTGCCATGCTCCTTTTGTTGCTGGCTTGCTCTGACGTAATTTAAGTTATGCACGCCCTCATGAGGGTGACCTTGGCCCTAGAGCATCCCAGAGGCATTGTAGTCAAGGTGTTAAACGTGTAATTCAACAAGACACCAGACTCTCATTTTACCAGGTTTGTGTTGCGGCACGGAAATCAGGATGCTTTACACGATGTGCTCTGTCTCCAGAACCCCAGCCGAAGTGGTCCCATTCCTAATGCTGTAGAATGGCACTGCCTGCCAGGTTGAGTGTTGCTTATTCTGTAGCAGGAGTGGAAAACCAGGGGCCTTCCAAAATGTTGCAGGACTATAAATCTCCTCTTCATTGACTATGCTGGCTGGGGTTGATGGGAGCTGGAATTTAACATCTGCAGTGCCACAGGTTAGCCTGCTTTGGCTTAGAAAGGTGATTCAGGCAGCCAGAGGAAGGTGCCACAATTTAAGAAGGATACTGACAAGCTTGCCAACAAAGGTCCGTATAGTTAAAGCTATGGTTTTCCCAGTAGTGATGTTTGGAAGTGAGAGCTGGACCATAAAGAAGGCTGATTGCCAAAGAATGGATGCTTTTGAATTATGGTGTTGGAAAAGACTCTTGAGAGTCCCATGGACTGCAAGAAGATCAAACCTATCCATTCTGAAGGAAATCAGCCCTGAGTGCTCACTGGAAGGACAGATCCTGAAGCTGGGGCTCCAATACTTTGGCCACCTCATGAGAAGAGAAGACTCTCTGGAAAAGACCCTGATGTTGGGAAAGATGGAGGGCACAAGGAGAAGGGGACAACAGAGGATGAGATGGTTGGACAGTGTTCTCGAAGCTACCAGCATGAGTTTGACCAAACTGCAGGAGGCAGTGGAAGACAGGAGTGCCTGGCGTGCTCTGGTCCATGGGGTCACGAAGAGTCGGACAAGACTAAATGACTAAACAACAAACAACAACATTGACAAGCTGGAACATGTGCGGAGGAGGGCAAGCAAGATGATCAAGGGTCTGGAAACCAAGCCTTATGAGGAATGGTTGAGGGAGTTGGATATGCTTAACCTGGAAGAGAGGAGACTGAGAGGATATATGATAATCATTTTGAAATATCTCAAGGGCTGTCACATGGAAGATGGAGCAAGTTTGTTTTCCCCTGCTCTGGAGGGCAGGACTGTCATTGCAATTCTACTCAGTATTGATCCAGAGCAGATTCCAATGTATAGTTAGCAGAGTAAAAACTTAAACACATTGCAGCGTTTCCAAAAATAGACCAGAGGCAGTTGTATTTCACCCAGCAGAGCTTTACTGCTGTTGAAGGCAAATGAAGCATAATGGTCACAAATCCAATATATTCAGGATTGGCACTGTCCATAAGAAATCCAGTTGCAGCAGACTTAATTTTAACTTACAATAAGTCTAAACCTTAACACTAAGCATACTCTGTACAGAACATCACACCAGAAGGAAAAGAGATAGAAAGAGAAATGAAACCCAGGCCCCTTCTGGCCCTACTTTTATAGTCAGCATGACCTTGACAGAAGAGATAAGAGAACCAGTTCAAGCCAGCTGTACTCAGCTCAGTGGCGTAGCGTGGGGGGTGCAGGGGGTGCCGGCCGCACCGGGCGCAACATCTGGGGGGGGGGCACGCTCGCACTCGCAGCTCTCTGCCCCTACCTGGCTCACTCACTC